GCTTTTCAAGGCCAAGTACTTTAATCATGAATGGGCCGAGTCCCTTCTATGCCCTATGTAAGCCAGGTAGCTTTGAGCAACAAAGTCATGGCTTCTAGGAAAGATTGCTCCCTTCCCCATGAAGTTGTCTTGCTGTAAGCTGTGCAGAAGAACCAAATGCCTTTTTCAGAGGAAGTAGCCACCTTTGATGGGCGTGAGGGTTTAGAGGGGGGGACCTCAGGCCAGGGACAACTGCAGCCCGTGCGGCCTAGTTATCTGGCCTTTTTCCCAGGCCCCAATCCAGCTCTGCACCCTCCTCAGACACCTTTGTCTGGCTGAGCTGTCTCTTGCTTGCCTTCATAGAAGATGGAGAGGTGTGCAGAGGGGGAAATCTTGCCTTCTGTGTGGCTGGAATGTAGCCTACTGAGTCATACCTGTTGTGTCAATTTCCCCTCACCTTCTTGCTCACCACTAGCCCATGATCCCCAGAAAATTGTCCAGGAGGGAATGTAGCCCTTGGTGCAAAAAATGGTTCCCAGAACGAATGCCTGGCTTAGAGGCCCCAGAATGAATGTCAGTTGTCTGGGTCTCAGCACCCTGGCAGAGCCCGCTTCCAAAGCCAGAAAAAGCAGCCATTTTGATTTCCTGCAGTGGTCCTGAGTACACAATGCACTGTTGCTGTACCACACTGAGTTCCCTGTGCCTCACCTCTTGGTAAGTGGCAGCAATGCATGGTCTCAGGGAGCTGAGACAACAACACAGTCCCCACCATGCTGCCCCGACCGGCTGCTACTGTGGCATGTTCCTACTTATCAACCAAGTCTCCTGGGCAGACCACTGTAGTGGTCCAAGAGGACGAAGCTTCTTCATGCAGCACATAGTTAATCTATGAAACTCTCTCCCGCAGGCGGTAGTGATGGCCCCCAACCTAGACATCTTTAAAAGAGGACTAGCCAAATTCGTGGAGGAGAGCCACTGATGGAGGCAGCGATGCTTCTGAATACCAGTTGCTGGAAACCACAGGAGGGGAGAGGGCTCCTCCACATGCAGCTGCTGGGTGACCTTGGGCTAGTCACACTTCTTTGAAGTCTCTCAGCCTCACTCACCTCACAGAGTGTTTGTTGTGGGGGAGGAAGGGAAAGGAGAATGTTAGCCGCTTTGAGACTCCTGAAGGGGAGTGAAAGGCGGGATATCAAATCCAAACTCTTCTTCTTCTTCTTGTGCTCAAATCCTGCTTGCTGGTTTCCCACAGGATGCTGGACTAGATGGGCCATTGGCCTGATCTAGTAGCCTCTTCGTATGTTATGATCCTGAAATAGCAGACATGAGGCCAGGTAGTGTGGCCTGCCACCCACCGCTTGCTGCCTAGTTTCAGTCTTGCATCGTGCAGCCGTTTCAGCAGAGCAGGGTGCAGCAGGCCCCATCACATGCTGCATCTAATGCAGCTTCTGGGCAGCAAAGCAGCGGCTATTTGCATTGCGCTGGTGCACGGAGACGCATGTGCTCTCTCACCCTGCTCAAGCGGCTTTTAGCAGACAATGGCCTTGAGCTGTGCATCTCCCTTGGCTTTCTTTTAATGAACCGCATTACAGATTTCCAATTATTACTTTTCCTGGCCAGACCATTGCCTCTCGCCGCCAAGCACTGCAGCTTTGTGTAATTTCTTTCTGCCTTTTTTTTCTTTCTCCTTTTCAACGTGCTGACCTTTATCATATTAGGTTGAGTGTTGGGAAAGTCACTTGAACAAACAGTGCATAGGAGAAAGAGGCAAAGGGCTGGTGGACGGGAGCCAAGCGCATTGTGCCACCATGGCCCTCCTGATAAGAAAGGACATAATCCAGGCATAAAGTTGCCACCTGGCCAGTCTCAAGCTGGCACGCTCGTCTTCAGTGTTGCTTTAAAATTATATAATGTGTTCCAGTAAGCTGTACCAATGTAGCAGAGCTCTGGTGCTTGCTACCATGTAAAATGGGCATGTATTTCAAGGGATTTACATATGTAAACAAGCAGCAGCTGCCCTTCTGGTCCATTCCTTTCTGAAAAGCCAAGGCCAGCTACAATTTTTTTTACATTTCAAATGTTAGCCAAAATATTTACTACTACCTCCTCATTCTGATAGCCAGATCAGACTGAGCAGTGGCTTGGGATGTTGTAGCTGTCAGGGATGGAGTTTAAGATATTGTGACCAGATTCATGTTCAAAAACATGCTAAAAACATTTCTGCTCAGGCAAGCCCATCCAGGCATGTGGAATGTTGACATGTGTTTTAATCTGATTTTTAGCTTAGTGCTGATTTTCAGTAATTTTTGAGCGTATTAAATAGTTGTTTTGAACTGATAATATTAGTGTTTTATTCTTTTTGTAAAACCACCTTTTTTACAATCAAGTGGTATATAACTTGCTGAAATAATTTTTTAAAAAAGCTGTGCACACACCATACATTTAAAGCACGCACAGACCCCCACCCATTAACCCTTGGAGAGCTACGATGCCTAGCACATTTAACAAACTACAGTTCCCAGGATTCTTTTGTGGGAGGATGCACTTTAAATGTGGAGATGTGAAGGCCTGGGGCAGAATGAAGAAATGGGAAACCCTTTGCCCCTCCTCCCCATTTTTATGGGACCTCCCCACATTTTCCCCAGGTCTTCACATCTTAAATGTACAGTTTGTATGCAGCCTAGGCCACAACCCTATACACTCTTTCCTGGAAGTTAGTGCCGTTTATCAATGATCAGGCTCTGATCCTAGGTTAAACAGAAAGTGTTAGGTCTCTTCACTACATTTTCTTCAACTGCTGGATTTCTTCCCACTTCTGTTCCAGTTGAAGACGTACGGAACAAATGTAGGGTAACTTGAAGAAGTAAATCACTGGTTAAACCACACTGCCTAGCCTCATTTTGAGTTATGTCATGGAAAAGGCAAGGTCTGTAAAGAACTTTGTAACCCTAGACTTTGTAACCCTGTTCAGTGAACGGCAGTCAAGCAGATAACCTTGCCCTCTTATCGCACTGTAAGTTAGTTCCTTCCTGCCCTGGGCTGGCAACAACACTGTTGGTTTATGCGATGGGCATGTGTGTTGGCACGTTTCTTGTGTGAGCACAAACAGGCCGGCTGTGTGGGTCGACAAGAGGGTGACTTTTAAACCAGTGACTTGGCAGCACTATGTGCAGCAATGCAACTTAGCAGGCCCTAGCAAGCAGTACCTAGCATCAGAGCCTAATCATTGTTAAGCAGGGCAGTAGGCTAAGAATTGTGATGGATGATGAGTGTGCTGAAATTTTAAGTATATCTCTGGAGCATAATTCTCTGGGCTTATAAATGTGCCTACTTTTTTCTGCCAAGCCATAGTATATTTCTACTAATAACCACCACTACTACTACTACAAGTGGGATCAGCAACAATATGTTGAAGTTTGGTTGTTGATATGTTTGATTGGATAGATCACATTGGGCAGGTCTGTGGTGGATGAACCATCCCACAGCATGGATACAGAATGAATTGGGCATCTGCATGAGATTCTACTATGCCTTGCCTCTGTAAACTCCAGTGCAAGGTGAAAGAATGTCCGTATCTACAGGGGAGGAAATGCCGGTATCTCCCGTGCTTACCCAGGGATGTGACTAGGTCAGAGACAAGGGGGGAGCTGAATCACTCTCTCTTTTGGAGACCTTCCCTTCCCCACTGAGTCAATTTTGTTCCCACTTGAATTTATTCCATGGAGCATGTTTAAGTGCAAAGTCACTTTAGAAATGAAATAGGTTACTTTGGGCACTGACCAGTCATCAAGTGGAACACAGAACTTCCCTGCTGCTTGATCCAAAACCTCAAGAAGAGGATGGAAAGTGTCACTAAGATCTGTTGAATGGATCTATCCCACCCAAGGATATTTGGAACAGCCTTTTCCTTCTAGGAGTTTTGATTTTCAAGAATATGGGAAGTCCAGAGACCTACACATCTGAGTCATTCGTATGTGACACCCATGTCCTGCTCATCTGCTGCTTTTTCCACTTATGAGCAAGTACATTGCGGCTGTTGAATGAGATGAGCCTATGACCTGCTCCAACAGGGCTGTTCTTATGTGCTTGGGAAGCAATTGCCCCTATTTACTTTAAAATCATAAGCTGCAGTTTCCTCCCAGAAGTGGACTTTATCCTTGGCCAATCAGGTTACACCTCACCCACTTCCCAATCATCTGTTTTTGTTTCCTTAGATGTGTACTTTGAACATGTAACTTCTCTCCCTCTCCCCTACCTCTCTCCTTTTCCCTGTCCCTCAAGAGTGGCAAGCAGGGTGCTGGGCTGGATGGATCAGTACACTTCTTATGTTCTTATATGTAAAATATGCTTGTAGGATGTTCTAAGCTCTTCAGACCCATCATCTCCAGTTCATTGACCTCATGTATCAGGGCTGGGAAATACCATTTCTTGAGGCCATGGAGAGCCAATATGAGTCACAGCAGAGTAGACTGTATTGTGCTAGCTGAATCAGGATATAATGTGGAAGGCTGTTCTCTTTGGGGCAGAGGAATCTCCCATGGTTGCCGATGGGGAATTTCCTCCCAGGGCAAATAACAGTCTCAAAGGAGGGATTTCCCTCAAATTGCTGTGATCTTGATAACTGCCAATCCCCACAGCTGATGCTATTTGTACTACTAGAAACCAGAACATTAAACACAAGAGGCATTAACATCCCATGTAGTTCAGTCTAAAGTTGTTTCGTTGTCAAGCTCTAAACGCAGTCAGGTTCGGGAGGACTATAAAGCATATATACAAGCTGTCACCACAGTGGTACAAGTGACAAGAACCCAGGAGTCCAGGAGTGCTTATGGAACCTTGATGGGTGATACTCTGTATAGTTTCTGGGAAGGATCAGAATGCACTGTATCTAGTCATTTTGATCTGTGCGTCTGAGCCATAGGGGACCACCACCAAAGACTTCCCCAAAGATCTCAGAGATCAGGCAGGGATAGAAGAGATCTTTAAGATTAGAATTTCTGAACAGAACCACACAGTCACAAGCCTGGATAGCTCAGTTGTTTAGAGTGTGATGCTGATAACAGCATGGTTGCAGGTTCAATCCCTGTATTGCGTAGCTGCATATTCCTGCATTGCAGGGGTTGGACTAGCTGATCCTCAGGGTCCCTTCCAACTCTAAAAGTCTATGATTCTATGTACAAATTATGCATTCAGAAGTTCTTGTGAAATATATGGAGCGGATACAATCCTAACCTCCAGTGCCACATGTTCACTGTACACAATGTCATGCACACAAGGCTCATGACTCTTGGATATTATAATTAAAATATTTTCATCTTATATATAAATGCCTGATGGGAGAGCCAACCCTTTGTGTCTGTCTATGTGTGTGTGTGTGTGTGTGTGTGTGTGTGTGTGTGTGTGTGTACGTGCGTGTGGAGAGACAGAGAGAGAGAGAGAGAGAGAGAGAGAGAGAGGGAACATACCATTTCTTTTTGGCACTCCCCCGCTCTTTACAGGAGCAAGCTGATGGAGATGAGTTTCCTTATTCCACCATGCTCAGGAGTTGGGGGACTTTTGCAATGTATGCTACACCTGAACTCTGCAGTATGACTTAGCTGCAGGAGCAGCCCTGCTATTTGGCAGAGTGAGGCAGCTGCCTCAGATGGAAGGTGCTGGGGTCAGGGAGCAGCTGAAAGGTGTCAGAGGACAGAGCTTTGTATGTCATGCAGCTTGTCCTTCACACACTCACCTCCCACCCCTTCCAGGGGCTTTGGAGGATGCTGCCCTACCACCAGAATTGAAGGAAGGTTCAGTTGCCAGTCCAGTTGGCTTCTGCCCATGGAACTGGGCAGAGGCGGATTTCGGGCAATGTGAGCGGTGTAGCCACACAGGGCACAGATTCTTAAAGCCCAGGAAGCGCTTGCCCAGCTTCAGGAAAGAGGTGTGAGGGCTCTGACAGGGTCCTGGAGTCCCCCTTCCTCCTCCCCAAAGCCTGGCAAATGCTTCCTGGGCTTTGGGAAGAAAGAAGGGGGGCTCTAGGACCCTGCCAGAGCCCCACGCCTCCTTTCCAATACTTAAGTTGGTGCCATGAGGGCTGGGGGGAGGACGTCAAATGGCCTTGCGCAGGGCGGCATATTACCAAGGTCCACCCCTGAACTGGCAGCACCATCTTTTCCTTCACTCCAAGAAGCAGACGTTCTTCAGCTGGCCCTGTTAGCTGTCAGTCTTTTTCTATCAATGGCTACTAGCCATGACTGCTGTGCTTTGCATCCACTGTCAGAGGCAGATGCCTCTGAATACCAGATGCTGGGAGTCACAGCTGGGCTGTCGCACTCATGTCTAGCTTTCAGGCTTCCCACCGGCATCTGGTTGGCCGCCGCGAGAACAAGGCCCTTGGCCTGAACCAGCAAAACTTAAATTCGTTTCAAGAAAGATCCCACTAAACATGGCTCCACAGATCCCCCAGAGCACATGTCAACGTGTTTAGAATAAAACCAGAATTAATCAATATTGAATTAAAATGCATTCCCAGATTTATATCAAACAAAACCATTATACAAAGCAGGAAGCTTAGCATAGCACATTAGAACTGCAAACTGACTTGGCTCTTAAGGCCACCTCTTAAGGCCCCACCCCACTCACCTTAAGGCCTGCTGAAACAAGAAAAAAAAATCTAACTTTCTGAAGGTAAAAGCAGAACAGGCTTGACAGGCATCTCTGTTCCTTGATAACATCAATCTAATTGATGCCATTACCTGATGAAACATGTCAATAACAAGGGGGTTAATGTCTGCCCAACTCTAAAACACTCAATACCATACTCTGGTACAACCTACAAGGCAGTGGCATAAAAACACAGACCAAATGGAGCACTTATGTATTCTGTAATTCTATTGGGGACTCACACCACATGCTCAAAACCCTTTTGGTTAAAATTAACAGAAGTAAAAGTGCTTAGCTCCGGTTGGATCAAAGTCAGTACCGTGGCAGCTTCAAACATTAACATTTTTTTTAAAAAAAATCAGGGACCTGTTACAGAATATTAACAAGGAAGCAAGAACCAGTCTTCCTTAAAAGCTCAGCACAGCAGTGTAAGAAACTTCCAGAGCTACCGTATATTGTTGAGCCACAACTCTGCCTTAGGACCTGATTTCAGTGCCTTGGCACAGTCCTAACCCACATGAAATAAAGTGCCACTGGCCATGCACAGATAATTTCCTTTCCACATACTTTAACAACAGCTGATGAGCATGCTCAAAAAATATCACAAACCTAATATTTGGTGTTTACTAGAAACTATCTCACTGGTGTATGGGAAGATATTGAGCTGGTTCATCATATCAGCTGATTAACACAGCATCAAGTGGTGTGATTTATATTGTTTGTTTGTTTATTTGTTTATTTATTCATTCATTCATTTTTAAAGTAGATCCACTTTTGCCTTCCACCAAAAGAATTCCTCAAAGTGGCTTATAAACAGACATGTGTTGATTTGTTGTGTGTGTGTGATCTACTTTGGACATATTTATATGGAAAAGCAATATACAAGCTGAATTAATAAATACATGGAGACATTTTTTAAAAAAATAATCCAACCATTAAAGCACAACTAATGAAACTAAAAGCAGCCGCAGTAAAAACACAAACTCTAAAAGGAGCACTCACATTCAATGAGTTAGGCAGCAACAGAATCAAAAGCTTGTTTTAAAATGATTTTTTATTTATTGTGAGTGGAATATAAGAAGGAAGGTGACCTAGGGTTGTCTCCAATGCTAGTCCTGCTGAAGTAAACAGACATGACTAACATAGGCTCATTAATTTCTATGAACCTGCTGTGAGCAGAAATAACTTGGTTACATCCCCTAACCCTTTGGAGCAGGGAGTTCTCCCTGCAGGGGGCCACCACAAAGGAAGCCCTCTCTTAAGTTGTCATGGTGACATATGCAAGACTGGCACAGCTGTTGCTCTTAAAGGGGAGGCTGGTCCACATAAGATGGCCCTTCAAACAGTTTATCGATAATAGCCCAGCACCTTGACTTGCACCCAGAAATGGACTGGAAGCCAGAGCTGTTGATACAACAATGGGAAGGCACATGCACACACAGACACACATGACCCCAGCTCCTTGCCCCAATTAAGATTTTAGTAGCAACATTCAGCCCCAGTTGAAGTTTTAGCATTTTCCCAGGGCAGCTCCACACAGAGTGCATTTCAGTAGTTTGTCTGAAATGTAACTAATGCACGTCGCACCATGGCCAGCTATGAATGAGCAAAAATATCTTTTTGTAAACCACTTTGATGGGGTTTTTTACAGTCAAGCAGTATATAAATATTATGAAACGAACAGACAGACAAACAAATTGCAGCACAGGCAGAAATTTTCAGATCATCTCCATGTCCACACAAATGGGTCTTAAAAGCAGCTGTTTACTGTTTGTGTGATGCACTCTCCTGCCAGGGAGCAAGAGATGGCACGTTGAAAGTGGAATTCCACGACCTTCTTACAAACCACTTCCGATTCCCGCAAAGAGGAGTCCCGCTTTTGTGAACTGACAGATAATAGCTTCAGGCTGGGCAAGTACGAGCCATGTTTCCTTGCACATCTTGCGAGTGCCTGTTGACATCAAAGAACCTGACAGCTACACCGTCTTCCTTTTCATGGACTTGTTTGCACTCAGCCGTATACCAGTAGGAACCTGCCCCTCAGCCCCACCTTGAATGAGGGCTTCTAGAAGAGGACAAGACTATATGTGGGGAGAATTTGTTCAAATGACATTATATAATTGGCCTATGCTGTGAAGGCTTGAAGCTAATGGAAGAATAGGAAAACTGAGTTTCCTTAGATTATTTGCAAGCACCTCTATTGAGCTACCCTCTATTAAGCCAGAGTGCAGATTCTCATGGAATTAAAATGGCACCATCCCATGCAAGTGCAGAGCTTCGGGAAACCCCAGATTTTTCAATAGTGCAAAGATTTCTAAAGACAAGGGAAACCCAAAAACAGACCAGTGCAGACGACACCTGCTCAGTGGTCACAGATACAAACTGATAGTTGAGGGCAAAAACAAACGTGGTAGGAGATATAGAATGGAGTCTCTCAAAGGAAAGCATGGCTGGCTGGCTGAGACCCTGGAAAAAAGCATTCCATACTGCAAGGTTTTGTTGCAGGTCCCACTTGTGGGCTCTAATATTTACATAGGGCTTCTCCCTTTTGAAAGCTATAACATGCAGGCCTCTACTCTACCATCAGTCCAGTGAGCAGGGCTTGCCTGTGATTTCTTGCACCAAAAGCAAAAATCCTGCCTCTCGACCAGCAGCCCTGATTCAGTATAACATAGAATAATTATATATTTGTTATACATCAAGGTGCCACACAACTCTATTCTTACAAGTCACCTTTAGTGTGGTTAAGGCTTCATGAATCTTCTGGTTCCATGATTACCTGCTGGCCATACATGCAAAAATCTGCAAAGATGGGATTTCTGATTGCAGCAGATGTAGAGATCTTTCAGATTAGGGATGAAACACACATACCCAAAAGCAAGGAGCCTTGAACCGTAGTGCTTTGAGCTAGGAGGCCCCAAGATCAGTGCACTGCCACTTTAATTTCATTTGGTGAATGACTAAAAGTGAGCATATGGACTAAGCATGAATCATGTGCATTTTGTTTTTTAAAGTCAGCGTGATCTGGCATGGTAGAGTGCTTGCTAAATTTTCAACAAAGTCTGCAAGTGAATTTGAAGCTCTTCAAGAAGAAACTGCTGCTTAACCCACAGAATGGAAGGAAAGTATAAAGAAACAATTTTGTTACTGAGAAGTCTCCAGAAACCTTCACCAGAAGAATACCAACACATTCCTATCCTGCTCTTCCTCCAAGGAACTTGGGGTAGCGTAGCATATTTTACAGTAAAATGCATACTGAAATGTGTGTTTTGTGGTGGGAAATACATAAAAATGCTAATTTTCATGTGCTTAAGTGTGATGCAGAAACGAGGCGGGATGGACTTATGAATGAACACTTGAAAAATGAACAGAACTGAGTTGCCCATCCATATTCATCTCACTCTGAAATTTAAGATTTAAAAGTGTTGTCCTCTGGTTCAAAAATACCCA